AATCAGATGATGATTTTTTTCTGCTAGCTGAAGCAGCCCTGCAGGAAACAGATAGGAAGGAAGGGCAGAATGCTGCATCTCTTGGTCCTGTGGGCAACAGGGCAGGAGGAGCCTGGCTTTCAGGGATGCTGCTGCACTCTGTGCCCCAGCTGCAGCAGCACTGCACCCCCACTGCCACCATGTCACATTTTGCTCTCCCTCTCACTAAAATCAGTGCCAGGTCTTCTCTGTCCTGACGCAGTGCCACCACGCTGTGGGAATCAGGTCTCCCATCTGCAATGCAGGATAAATCAGAAGCTGCATCCACGTGCAGCTGCTGTTCTTCCTGTTCCCAATGCACATAAGAAGGTTCATTCAGTTATCTGTCCCTCAGCAGTGGGCTGTTGTGCACCAAGGTCATGCAGCCATGTCTATGCACTCAGGACCATAAAAACATACAATGTCTTGGAATTGGGAGTAACCATAAAAACCATCTCGTTCCAACCCACTGCCATGGGCTGCTGTCACCCACTGTATCATGCTTCCAGTCTTCATCCAATCTGGCCTGAAATGACTGTAGTCATTTAAGCAGTGTCAGCAACACGTGCAAGGAAAAGAAGGTGGCTTTTCATGTTGGCATCACTGCCTATATAACATGTGTGTTTCAGTTTCTATAGATTATGTTCTTAGCTTTAGAGTCACATCATTCAAAAGATATCAAAGAAGGACTTCTAGGGAAAAGAAGTACTCTACCCACCTTACTATTCTGTACTGCTGTTTTTAGACAACAGAAGTCTTGGAGGGGCTGAGTATTTATCTCCCTCAGCTTCCACAGTGATTTGCAATTGAGCAGAATGTTTCTACATATATATTACCATGCTTGCACATGGCAAATAAATGAGGCAGCACTGAAAGAAATGGGTCCCATATTTAATTTGCTAAATATGACCAACTTCATGTTCTTCAATAACGAAATTAGAGTTGGGAAGGAGTTTGGCTGTTCTGTTTGCTTTTCCTCAAAAAACAAAGTCCCCAAAGAAGATGACGCTGACCAGTTTCTGCCTAAAGTAGCAATCCATCCATGCAGCTTATTAGAAGATCAGCTTACTTGTCTTTCTGTCACTTTATCTTCAGATTTGATGCTTTTTTTTTTTTTTTTTTTTTTTCCAAAAAATGCTCTTGTTCAATGAGAAACACTGGGCTAGACACTGTAGTGACTGAAAGAATCTCATGACTTGCATGCAGACAAGCCAGATTACAGGTATCAGGTGGTTATTACCAGTTTAGTCAGGCTAGGGCACCAGGTGTGGGCACAGCTCTTCATGTGTGTCAAAGACTTAGCCAAACCAGACTTCGCTGCTCACACTTTGCTTACTCTTCCCTTGCTTCCAGCAAAATCATTTGCTGTTTCGCTTGGGTTCAGTGAGTCTTTCCCAGATCAACCAAGAATATCTTACATTTCTGCAATATGGTACGATCAGCACTTCAGCCCTATCAGTGGTGCATTCAGCATAATCCCACCTCTGCTTCAGTCCTCCATTTTTTGTCAAGGGGAAGAAACCAAGACACCAAGTTCTGTGCTTGGACAAGCCTGAATTTTTAAGGTTAGAAATACTCAGAGGAACCTTGAAAAAAACCAAAGTAATCAGGTTCATCAGCAGTTTATTTTATTAGTACTATGAAACTCGAGCCAAAATGGAACACAATGAAAAGGCCATATGTCTTCAAAAGGGTTTTCTTTGAACTACATACAAACATCAGTTTAGCAGATTATTTCATTAAAGGAGCTGAGATTCTGCACTTAATTTATTCGTAGCCTATTGCACATCTCACTACATGCGAACGTCCAAATGTTTTCTGGGGAGAGAGGGAAAGGTTTTGTTGTTTTAGCTGTCTCCTTAAGCCCGTCAAAGAACCATTTTGACTTCGACTTTTGCAATCCTGATTTCATGCAGCAAACTGGGTGTCGCAGTGATTAAAAACAACTAGTGAAGTGCTTATTTTCTGCTGTTGGGATGGTACCTTATGGTATATGCACAGTTTCAGGTCTGAGCTGGTGATGCTACAGCGGTAGGCAAGGCACAGCATCATTTCTCTCTGGCTCGTGCCCTGGCCCAGGGGAAGGAAGCTGCAGTGCTTTCAGGAGTGGGGAGCCCACAGCAAAGCTTGCTGAAAAACAAGTGGAGAGGTGGGAAAGATCAAATTCATGGCATAAGCAAATACTCCACAAATCATCAAGAGACTTACTTACTGTGGCTTTGATGGCCACAAAGAGATTTTCGTCAAGGGTTTTATACAGCTAAAATCAATTCATTCACTTCATCTGTTTTGAACATACTGGAGATGCAGCTAAAGATGTCACAAATGGTTAGAGTTGCCTGGAAACCTTCAAGGTGTCAATTGACCATATTTTTAGGCGCAGGAATGTTACATGGACACACCACGACTTCACCAGCGATTTCTTTAAAAAACAAATGGAGTCAGAAATCTACAAGGGAATAAAAATATCAGGAGAGTGAAGCTGAGTTGAAGCAGGGTAACTCAAAATCAATATTTTGCTTTTAAACTCTTAAGGGGAGGCCCAGGAGGGCTGCACTCATTTTGTCCTCCGTCCTCAATGTCCTCAGAGAGTTGGCTGAGAAGTGACAAGGCTGCTCCATACTTACTGCAGGACATTCCTCACTAACAAGCCACTTGTTAGAGTATTCAGCCGCTGCTTCCCTGCCCAGTGCCTGGCCTTTGCTTAACAGCATTAGACCACAGTCAAGCTCAATAGGAATAAGAAGGGAAGGAGGTTCCTCTCCTTCTACCACACACGTTGGAGTCCCCTTGCCCACTCATGTTGCAAATTCACTTCTGTGCATAAATCTGGGTCACAGCCCTTCCAGCACCCCTGGCACAATCCCTGCAATTTGCACTCAGGGACTGAATTCAACCTGAGATAACTCTGGGCTGCTGGTGATAGGAGAAGGTGGCCACAGAACTGCATTGTGCCCTTTTCACTTGTGGGCATGTGGGGGTGGCTTTGCCCAGTGCAGCTGGGAAAAAAGAGGTACAGACATTTAAGTGTTTTTCCAGCCTGAGGTAGAAAAAAGAAAGAAACTTCTGTTGTGCCTTTTTTTTTTTTTAAGCTTCTACATTGTAAAAAAATGTGTTCAGGAAAAGGCACAAAGGCACAAGTCAAAAGCCTTCAGGTTCTTGATTCCCCAGATATTTCTCTGGGACCATGTGCGCTGGGAATAGGCAATGCTGCCAGCCTGGAGTGTGTTTCCCTGGCACTCGGGGTACAGAGTGCATAGTTTGCTGTGCTCTGAGCAGATTTTTGTCCAGACAAAGACACTGAAGTGAAGCATCAATGAAACAGAACCCATATTCTCACATGCTCACATCTGATGGACTTCAGTGGCCTTGACATAGGATGGAAGCATGACTATAAATGCAATAGGAACTCTTTTTTTTCTCCTTTGATCAAACAGAACCTCAGGGAGCAGTGGCTGGCCAGCTGAATGATGGATGTGATATTAAAGACTCCGTCTTACCAACACCAACCTATGCATTCCTCTCACTTCTGTAAGACATGGAAAAATGCCTTGTAGCCCTGCAAGCCCTGACCTTGTTGTCATGAAGGCCTGTGTCATGGTAGAACCTCTTTCCTCACCTCCTAGGCAGCACACACATCAGACTTCAAAACCATTTCATCCAAACACTAAGGTGATGGAAACTAACTGTCTCAGGAGCTTCCAAGCTCTGGGCCCAAGTCTCTAGCAAAAAGTGGGGTGAGCCTTTACTCTGGACTCTTGGCGAGCCAGTAATCCAGAGCCAGAGTTAGCACAAGCTCAGGGTGAAAGAGTCATGAGGGCATCATTGCTCTGCTTGGTCCACAGCTATTCTGATCAGCAGGAGCTTTACTCCAGGTTTTGACACTGTCTCTTGAAGAAATGTCTCCAGAAAAACCTGCTGCAGCAGGCACAAACCTTTAGAAACATGGCCCACCAGAGCAGGTCAGGAAGGCGATTAGGTTCCCATCTCCCTAACTTGTGTGGTTGTAGATGCAGCCACAAGACTTAGATCCTGCAGACCTCAGGAAGGAGGGGAGCTCTCTGGTGCAGCTGAAGCACAGAGCTACATAATCTTGGTCCCTTCAATCCCTCTGTGGCTATGTGTCACAAATTCACCCCACAGATCAGCTAGGGTGGACTGCCTGCTCTCTGTGGGATCCGTCCAACCAGATGGAATATGTTCACTTTTATGAAGTGAGTCCTTCCCCTTCTACCCACCAGTGATTTCCAGAAGCTGTGCAAGGCAGACCCATAAGCACCGCCAGCTCCAGCTTCAGTCAAAGGACTGTGCTTCTGCCGAGCAGAAAGCTCACAGCAGAAGAGCACAAAAATGCTCTTGGTTTCATTCTGTCTTCTGTTCTTTTTCCTACACATTTCCACTTGTTTTCTAAATCTTGTACAGGTCCGTAACATGCTATATTTGGCTTGCTCCAGCTCCATGCCCCTGCCGATGACACTGAAATGAACTACAGAGGCTGATCAGACTCCAGATACCCAGCGGACAGATGTGTGCCTCGGTGGCACTCCATTAAGTCGTTTGTTTAAAACCCCCAAACAATCCTCTCTCATGCAGATGGAAATGCCGGCCTGCCTCTTTGCAAGGAGATGTGGATTCTGCCTTGGCAGATATGTGTTGATCCGCTCAGTTAAAAAACTTCAAACCCCTAAAATTCTGGTCTTTGACCCTACCCTAAAACTAATTTGAACTATTCTCAGCTGATCTGGAGTTGAAGGGAATGGCTTTTAACTGGAAATACCTTATCTTTAGACAAGTAATTGTCGTTAATTAAACCAGTAAAGAGACATTAGCCTCTGCTTACTTAAGTTTTAGCCTGTGGATTAACAGGCAGCCCTTGATATCCTTTCAAATGAAGATGTTCTCATGGAATCAGACAATTCTAGCACTCAAATCCCTTTCCTGTGATCTGAAAAATAAACCTTGCAAAAGAGCAAACTCACCTGCACAGGCACAAAGCATCATTTCCAAAGCTTGTTTTTTCTCTTCAAGACAGAGGTGCAGCTCTTCCAACTCTGCAATTATTTTAGCAGTAAAAGAATAAGGAAACTGTAATCAGCTGCTAGTAATAGGAATATACTTTTTTTATTTCCTGCCAATATGTGGAAATAAAAGAAGTGTATGTAATTGCACATGAAAATTTCTCTCTGACACTCCTGAAATTTGTGATCACCACATTGCTACAGCTGCATCAATAAGAGTGTGACAGAAAATAGAAAAGAAGCAGGTATGAGATTAGACAGTGCAAGAAAAAAATATTGTTATATTTAACATTGTCTCACAAACTCAACTGCTTCACTGTTCACTTGCAGAAGGACAATAACTGTGATAATTGTGGAAATGGTGATAGTGCACTGTGAGAAAAAGCTGGGGACATGAAAGATGGCCTGGAACAACTCAGGTAAAATCCATCCGATGGGGCTGCCAAGCATATTCCTGTAATGTAGGGGGCCCTTGTATGTCACCTGGCATGTATGCCACTTCCAGAGAGGAGAGATGGACCTTTGAACTGATCCAGCAGTGTGCACACACAGCTTATTTTTATCTGAGGTTTAAATCCCCTGCATCATGTCAGTGCAACCCTTACCTTAGGCCAGAGCCAAACAGCCCCAGTGAGGCATTATGGTCACACTTGTTCAGATTCATAGGGCTTAGATCTTCTAGTCTTGCAATGTCATTTGCAGCTGGGAAAGTGAACAATTGCAAAATGCCAGCATTTGACACTTACTTCCTGTCAAAAAAGTCCGTTTCATGGTGCTAGTCAATCGTCAATTGACTCCAGAGAAAGTTTTCCCAGCGACTACAAATTGGAGAAAGTCCCATACAACGAATTATTTTCTGAAATATCATACGCAAAATCATATTTTTCTTTCTGCTAGTTCATTAATGTTGTCCTAGGCAACATTCCCCTGTTCTTTGGAAGATTATTCCTCCTGTAGATGCCCCTTAAATTTAAGAAGCCCCCAAAATTTAAACTCCATTTTCCTGTCATATAATTCATGTTCAGATTTTGTCACAAACATGAAATAAAGTTCTGTCTGCACATAGCCAACTTTCCTTGCAATGAAGAAGCATCAACATATCATATGCCACATAAAGGTGAAAAGTTGATACTTACTTTAGAGAGGCTAACAAACATATTGAAGCTTTTTCCCTCAAGTTTTGACTGTTAAACTCTTTCTCAAACAGCAAGAAAAAGAATTCTGGATTAAAAACGAGTGGTGGGATGTGTCCCAAAATGTTTAAAGGCTGTTGTTAAGAATTTGCTTAAAACTTGTTTATTTCTTTAATATAGGCATTTACCACTTCAACTGAGTTACTTTTAAAGGCTAGTTACAGCTTGCTGAGCGATAGAAGACATCACTGTATTTTTCTGCCTATCAGACAAAGCTCTTGCAGAGCCACTGTTTTTCACCCTTTTTAGCAAGTATAGCCCTCATCTTGAAAACAGGAAGTGGGAGCACAAATAAAGTCTCACTGCAGCCAATAACAAAGCCAGCAATAAAATCCAGAAATCTGCCCTGGCTTTGTTTCTGCTCTACCTAGCAGGCCATGCTTCTTCCTTGGAAGCAGAAATATATTTCTAATTTTCAAACCTTGCACAAACCTTAATTTTCTGTTTCAGTTCTAGCATTACAATCCTTTGGTCTTCCTTTCAGCATGTATATTAAAAGATCCACCACCACCATCTTACTGCAAACCTAACTGGAACATATCAAGAAACAAACTGAAAACTTTTCTGGAGAGCCACCAAAACTACATGAAGCTTCAGTACACTTTAACATCAGAGAAGGAATTCCCATCAAATCTGGTGATTTTGAATGCTAATTTAGCAAAAACAAATGCACCACTCTGCCTCTCCCAGCAAGATGATCTTGGTATTTGAAGGGTTTCCACCAACTCTCAGACTATCATTACAGAAACAAAATATGGCATTAATGACTCAAAACATTTATAAATGGGTGACAGGAAGGGTCCACTTATGAGTAAGACCAGAACAAACCCTTCCAGAGGTCTGCTCTCCAGCTTACCAAAATTCTCATCCTGCGATTCTTCCTTTTTGTTCAGTACCAAAGAAGAGGTTGGTGATGGCCCACCCCATGATGTGTCTCTGCAAAGTTTTCTGTGCAGAAGAAAAAAGAAATCCTTAGAAAAAAAGAAAATTATTGTAAATACTGGAAGCTAGCATGAGTATGTGAATTTAGGAGACTGCATTTGAACTTGGTGCAAAATTAAGAGAGAATATAAATGAACGCTAACTGTACCACTTCATAGAGTGCAATAGCTTCTGGTAAGATGGATTTACATGCTGTTTCTTCACAAGGTAATAGGGATCCTCAAATTCTGAAAGAAATAAGCAAACCAGATTTTGAACTCTCCCATCTTGGAGCATTACTGTTTAAAGTGAAATGCTTATTGACCTTAATGAGGTTAATACAAAAGGGGACTGGGTATTTGCATACCAATTTCTGAACCTCCAGAAGAAACATGGAGTCTGAGAACAACACCCAACAAAACATCTGTGTTCTAGAAGCACCATTATTTAGAAAAATTACATATCACTTCAGGTTTGTTTTGTTCAGCTTTAAATGATTTTTGCAAATCATGTAAAACCACCCAGTTTAGCTTAAATCTTAATCTTAAACTTAAATCTTGCTCTAGGTTTTCTGTTACAACATATCATTAACTTGAGAAAAGAACTTACACTAATGTGGTGGTGGCTGGTGTGAGTATTTTCTTTCCCAGACAAGATATATCAGGCAGGAACACTTGAACATTAGAGCATAAACAAATCTGTAAATGATCAGACATGAAAAGAAGTCCATTCAATTATTTGACAACCCTTAACTGTCCACTGCAAAGAATATAGCTATTGTCTCCAGTGAACAGAGCAGAATAAAATAGTAACAGCAATAATAAATAAAATAGACAGAATACTCTGCACTATGCGGATTGTATGATATTTTATGATGTACTACAAGGCCAAATGCATGGTGTTGCACTTGGACCAGGGCAATCCCAGATATGAATGCAGACTGGGAGAACTCCTTGAGAGCAGCCCTGCTGAGAAGGACCTCAGGCTCCTGGTGATGAAAACCTGGGGATGAGCCAGCAGTGTGTGCTTTTAGCCCAGAAGGCCAACAGTATCCTGGGCTGCATCAACAGAGGGTGGCCAGCAGGGTGAGGGAGGTGATTGTCCCCCTCTGTTCTGCCTTTATGATGTCCCATCTGCAGTACTGCATCCAAACCTGGGGCTCTCAGCACAGAAAGGCTTGGAGCTGTTGGAGCAGGTCCAGAGGATGCCTGCTGAAATGATCAGAGAGCTGGAGCACCTCTCCTGTGAAGACAGGCTGGGGAAGTTGGACTTATTCAAACTGGAGAAGAGAAGACTTTGGGGAGACCTCCTTGTGGCCTTCTATTACTCAAGGGGAGCTTATAATCAGGAAGGGGACCAACTTTTTACATTGTCTGATAATGATAGGACAAGGGGAAATGAGTTTATAGTGAAAGAGGGGAATTTGGGTTAGACAGTAAAGAGAAATTGTTTAAGGGTGGTGAGGTACTGGAACAGGTTACTCTGAGAAGCTATGGATGCTCCATCCCTGGATGAGTTCAAGGCCAGGTTGGATGAAGCCCTGAGCATGATGTGGTGGGAGGCAACCCTGTCCATAGCAAGGGGGCTGGAACCAGATGGACTTCAAAGTCCCCAAGCCATTCCATAATTCTATTCTACGCCTCCATTTTCTTATTTTCATATAATATTCAGAAGGCGAAGAGACAGCATAATACACACAGAAAATAAACCAAATTAGTCTGGCAATCAGACTCAGTAGCTGTTCACTTTTAATCCATTGCTTGTATGAGAAAAATCTAGCTCTGAGTCACAATATAAATCTTCATGTTTTACATTCATCTACGCAAAAATGACTGGTTAAGCCCATATCAAACTTAATACCTCTGTTTAAGCCCAGTTTATCATAACACCACTTCCAATATTTTGCTGAATCAGAAGTTGGATGCAGTGCTCCCATGGACAGGCAGCCATATGCCATGTGTGCTGTGGTATACAGTGGTTAATTTCCCAGGAGAAAATAAATCATGCAGAAGTTTCTCTTCATCAGGCCTTTTATTAGACACTGTTCAAACTGAGTCCCAAGAAAGCATGATTTCCTTGGCTGTAATGGCATGCACACTCCTAGACAATAGGAAAATCGGCTGGACGTGCCAGCCCTAGTGCCAATACCAAATCCAGCAGCTACCTACATCCCTGATTGCATGTTTATTATCAGATTATCAAGAAAAAAAACAGAAGAAAATGAACGTACCTGCACCTGGAATTATCTGTCTCACACCTGCCTTTCTTGGCTGCTCACTATGCACCAGCCCCTTTCCATCCATGATCTTCTCCACATACTGGAATGTGCCATGTGAAGCAGCAGCTTACTGCTATAGCAGAAGCAGATGTGTGCACAGGTGTTCCCATGCCATTGTCTTGCCCACCTGCACCAGTGCTATACAGAGCACTTATTAAAGTCTCAGTGTGTTGCATGTGGCCTGGTATGTCCCTGAGCCAGAGGAAGGAGTCTAGCTGGAAAGGACCCTACTGCTGGATGGGATACCAGATGTCCCCACAAGGAACAGCAGCCTGGCACATGAGAAAGCCTGCCCAACTGCCTAGAAGGCTGATGGGAAGGAGGCCGCTGTGGCAGGCTATGCTTGCTTTCCTTCTGCTTCCTCCCCAGCCAGATTTTCCCCTCTCCCTCTTTCTCACCTTTTCCAGTCTTAATTCACCAGATATTCTCTTAATGGGTTGGCACCTGATGGAAATCAAGCACAAATTGACATGTTCCTTCTAATTGATGTACCAACTACTTCAGCTTCCTCCCTGTGAATGTCATACTCCTGCTTATCCATTACTGTTCGTATTTTACATGAGGGACAACCAAATCTGACCTCAAAAGGACATCACCTGTGATCTGTTCTCCTTGAAATGCCATGCTCCCAGGGGCACTCCCGCCTTACCTCTGAGAAAGAGGCAGCTGCCACTGCTGTAAAATGACTGGAGACTTTGCTGACTGCTGGGAACAGGTTGTCCTCTTCCAACATTGCCTTTCCCTTCTCTTTCATCATATGTATGCAGTAAGATTTTTCTACCCAAGACTTCTCCCATCATGATATTCCTGTGTAGCTACGTCAGCCATGTTGACAGATGCATGCCAGAACCCTGCAGTACCAGTGAGAAAATTAAAACAAGTTTAGTTCCTGATAATTTATTTTTTTATCTTCACATTCAAAGACTAATTTCTTGTCTTACTTTTTAGCCTTCCTTATCTCTTTCCTTTTTTTCTTTTCTTTTCCATGGAGCATTGTTATGCCTGGGATACCCCAGGGTGAGGGAAATGAAACACACACCATGGTAGCTGTTGTTGCTCTCTCAGATACCTTATTTGAGCATAGGACAGTATTTGGCAAACATTTCTTTCATCAGCAATGGCTACTTCAGTTGTTCCCTATGCCATCCCCACTCCCTCTGCACATAGAAACCAAGTTCAGTACGAAAAGAAACTGTGTGTGGAATCACCCCTGCCTGCTTTGGTATTTTCTAGGCTGAGACACTTCTTCCATTGCCGTTATGTTACATTTGTAGACACAAAACAAATAGAACAAGTCTTCCCTTCTGAAGTTCCTTTAGGAACAAGCCACTTTTGGCAGCACAACAGCTTTCAATATCTTTTAGCTGACATCTGTTCATCTGCAAAAATTTTCATGTTTTGATTTTGTTTAATGCCCCAATTAATTTACAGAGGAGGAAAGCAAAAAGGACATACAAATATCAACATATGACTATGAACCTCACATTGCAAAGAAGGTCAAGGTAGTGGACCAGATTGGTTTGATTGGTTTCTTTACTTCCATCCTAAACATTTCTGATCTACGACACCATAAAAAATGGAACTGCTTAATGTCTACCAATTTTGAAGACAGCTATCTTTAAAATTACACAGTATGGATTTGTAAAAGAGTAACAAATTAAACTGAGCACACTGCAGGAATTTATCAATCTGCATCACCAAGGGAGAAAAATAAGACAGGCAAGCCATCTATGTCTAACATGCTGTAGTGAGAGAATTGTCATCATCTTTGGGTTTTTATAAATAAAATAAATATAAAAAGACAAGTAATTTTCTCACCTAATTTTCCTGTAGAACTGATAATTAAGTGCTGTTGGATGCATCACCGGCACACGTTTGTTATAGTTGATATAGTGCCTCTGCATATTTAGAAGCTAAAAGTCTTCTCTAATGCTAGAGTAAAAATATCTACTTCACCTACTTCATGGCCTTAATATCTATTTCATGGCCTTTTATCTCCATCATCTAACTTCTATCTATCTAACTTCTATCTATCTAGCTATCCATCATCTAACTTCTATCTATCTTCTATTTTTTAAAAGTTGCCATCAGTGAAAACTCCTCTATCTTTAGAATCTTTCATGCATTTTGGACCGCACTGAAAAACAATTACTATATATATTGTAGAACAAGTTTAAATATATTGAAAAAGTCTTAAGATGCTACTATATATATTTTTAAAAATCTACATTAAAGTAATTGGTTCTGACACAGAGTCAAAGTTTAGAAGGTAAGTCTTCTGCTTGAGGTGGAAGTTCTTAGATCAGCCAATAATTTTACTTCACTGTGTGACATTCTGCACATCCTTTAACTTATGTTTTTATGTGTGAAGTAATGAAAATGAAGCTAAGACAACACTAGACATGGAAAGGGCATCATCACATATGAGGGAAGTGTTTGTTGATTTTTTCACGAGCGTGTACTTACATATCTTCTATGTGTGGCTCATTCCTCATGCAGCAGCTTGGCAATATTGTTTTACAGAGCCAAACTTTTTTGCCCAAGAGCTATGCAAAAGGAATATAGACAGATTAAATTTAAAGATACCCAAACTGAAGATTGGCAGTCAGGGCCTGTAACTGAGAGAGTAAAGACCTTTGGAGTTAAGTGAACAACTTTGTACGTGACCTTTCCTGCTTTAGTGGCTCCATTGGTCACCATCTCTGCTTTGCTAT